CTCTCTCTCTCTCTCTCTCTCTCTCTCTCTCTCTCTCTCTCGTTCCCAGGTTAAAGTGGTAAAGCACTGGCATGTCCCCAGGGCAGTGTGAAAATGAAAGAGATGGTCCATATTCATGAGCGATGTTTAAGGACCCATTTCCTCAAGCACCAAGGTTTTCAACATATTTCTGCATTTTCCTGTTATCAGCCTTTCCTTTTTCCAATTCCAAGCATTTTACTTAACTCTCAGACAACAGCTAAAAATCCCAAATGAAGAAAACAGAAGGACAATACTAAGCAAAAGGCCGTGAGCAGGCAGGAGAGGCTGCAGGTGCTAGATCGTGTGCTTGTGGCATGTGGCATCGCTGGATGTCACCGCTTCTTGCCCTCTGCTCTCTTCAGCCTAAGGCATCTGAAGTCGGAATGGCTAGGGTAAAGCTTGCTGCTCTTGGCACACATGCAGCCTGTTCTGCCCATAAATACACACATGCACATCAACTCGAATTTCATGCCTGACAGAAAGCTCTAGAAATTGTTTAGCCCCTAACAAGTGATTTTTTTCCTTTCTTCAAACAAACCACCACCAACAAAAAATACCCAAAGGACTCTTCCCACAGTGGTTGCATGTGGTATTGTGGTACGGTTGTTGAGGTTTTTGGTCTTGGGAGGAAGAGATGAGCTATCAAAATACATGTATGTATTATGTATGTACGTATGAACGTATGCTGAGATATTAGCACAGTTTCTATACTTCAAAGACAGAACCGACTATAGTATTTCCAAAGACATTACTGAGTGGTCACATTTATATATCTCATTAATATTATATATAAAAATACTTTCCATCAATAAGGAGAGAAAAATTCTATTAAATATTGTTGAAGACAGAGATAACTGACATAAGAATTACCTATATTTTTATTTGCCCTTTTTTGAAAGTATATGATATCTTTTATTTGACTATGAAAAAAGCACAAGCATATGCTTCCATATCACAGAATTATAAAATGTACCATATAATCATAAAAGCCTAGATTCTAGTCATCTACATCATACCTCTTTCCAATGTAAAAATTCCTTCTACCTCCCTCCCAGACAGACATCTTATCTAATTTCAGACCCTCTCAAAAACTACAATACTTAGGAGAGCTGTAAATGGGTCAAAATCACATATTTTCCTGAACTACCAATGACTATATTTTAATATAGCTCTCTTTCACTATCAGGCTGGACTTATAATGTATACGTTTTGGCATTTAATTATATATTATTTCATACCATCCCTCAATTCTTTTACATATTTAAATATAATATCCTCTAATAATGGACTATAAAAAAATCCTGAAGGGAAAGTGGATGGCCACCTTAAGGGAGACACAGCCAAGGGAACATTGTTATTAAGGGAAAGGTGATCATATCTGTAGGTCTAATGAGAAGGAATCAACGAACATGGAGAATTTGAAGATACCGAAGAAAAAAAAAAGGGGGGGGGATTTTGATGGGGCAAGAGGAGGAGAAAGGCGAGGTCAAGAGCACAGTTAGGAGAGGCCTAGAGAAAAAAGAGAAGCACGGCCGAGTCTTTTCATAGTGAGTCACCAAATCTTGAACTGGATGGAAAGGCTCCCTTCCTACCTCTCCTTCTCCTTCCCTCCTGATACTCCTCTGGTTGGTTTCTGGAGACAGTCAGAGAGGATAGGTGGATTTAAAGTGGGGAACAAAGCACCAGGGCTAAGAATTTTGAGCTCAGTTCTCCAAGCATGGAAGTCAGAAAACTTAGGTCCCTACTCAGGGACGTAAGCTTTGACTGGGAGACAGGGCCCAGGACTCTAGCTCCAGCTCTAA